CCCGAGCAGCGATTGCTGCCCCCCAGCCAACCCCCCCCAGTCTATATACTGAGCATGACCTCATAAGGTATGGAATAGCCCTTTGGGCAGTGTGGGTCAGCTGTCCTGGCTGTGCCCCATCCCAATTTCTTGTGCACCTGGCAGAGCATGGGAAGCTGAAAAGTCCTTGACTAGCATAAGCAGTACTCAGCAACAACTAAAACATCAGTGTGTTATCAGCATTATTCTCACACTAAATCCAGAACGCAGCACTGTGTCAGCTACTAGGAAGAAAATGAACTCTATCCCAGCCAAAACCAGGACAGTATAATATTTAAAATTTTTGAGTTTAAAAACTGGATATGGACATTAAGCCCTTTCAACACATTCTTCATCTTTCTGTTATTTTCAAGCTATGTACTCTATTTTTCTCATCGTTCGGAAGGAAGTAAAAATTCTCTTCACAGTTACACTGCTAATAAAAGCAGGTTTTGGGATACTTCAGTGACTAGTTCAGTGCTGGTTGTTTGGGGTTCTATTAATTATTTCTTTTGTCTTGAGCACATACAAGTCTCTTGTGGCCTCTGAGTGCATATGTATCTTTATTTTTAAAAATAAGCAAGTTTCTTTAAATGCTAAAATATTCTTAATGTGTATTCTTGTCTTTCAAAAGCTAAATTGGAGTAGCTTTTGGAGACAGCTGATATTCTGTAACAGTGACATTGACGCTCTGTGAACTTTTGAAGTGAGGCTTACTGTCTTGTTTCATGGTAATGAACTTAAAACGTAGGAAAAGATACAGAAGATGTTAGATTTTTGCAGGACTAAATATACTGCATTTTGTGTTGGTGTCCTTTCATTTTTGAAAGCTAGTGTTAGCTTACCAGTTTGTTATGCTCTTGCTATTTACAGGTTTTCAAGCCCATGGCTAATGCTGCTGTGAAGATAGTGGAGAAAAATGGTTTTCGTGACAAGATCAAGGTAATCAACAAGCACTCCACTGAAGTCACAGTTGGCCCAGGTAAGAAAAATAGGCTAGGGTTTAAAAAATTGGCAAGTACCTCAAAACCATGAAGGAATATGTCTTATACTGATTTTCTGTATGTTTTTAATTAAAACAAGCAAATCCTTTACTCTCTAGAAAGTAACATTGGAAATTACTTCAAAAGGAAGTGTTGTAATAGTATTTCAGTAGTCATTTGTATCTCATAGTAAACTTCTAAAGGAAAATAATTTGCAGTTTTCAGCAGGTTCTGTAACAGGAATAAGTTTTTTAATTGCTTCTGTTTTCAAGATAGCATTTTCTTGAAAGACCTATGTAAAGTCTTACTATTACAATATTAAGTTGTGTCTTTTAGATGGAGATATGCAATGTCGTGCAAACATCCTGGTAACAGAATTATTTGATACAGAGCTGATAGGAGAAGGAGCTTTACCAACCTATGAGCATGCACACAAATATCTTGTACAGGTAAGAAAATAGAAATTGATAGTATGTCACATTTATCCCTAGAGAAACTCTTCTGTCTTTTTTCAAGTAAGATAGAGATTATACTTGATTTAGGCTTCTGTATCCTTTCAAAATATACCATCAGCTATGCTAATTTCTTATTCAGTGAATAATTTACTAGATTCATTCCTAGAATAAAGCTATTTGAGTTCATATTGTAGATCACAGGCTCTGAAATTACACACCAATAACTTGCTCGTTAACAAATGTCTTTCAGAAGGGCATCCAGTTCTGATTTGGAGCTTTTCTTAGTGTTTTTTTCCAAGATGTTTTAAAAAATGAAATTATCTTCCTGAATTTGATGGGCTTCACCTCCCAGGCTTAGTTTTGTTTTGGTTCCGCCCGCGCCCCCCCCCCCCCCCCCCCCCCAGGAGCTCTTGCTATTCCACATGCTTTTTGCCAGTGGAAATACTATAATCACTGTAATCAAATTAATATCCATTTCTTTGGACATATAATCTATATGTATAATTTTAGGCCTTTCTCTTTTACCCTTTCTAACTTTTTCCTTTAATTAAAATGTGGATGGCAAAACTTTATTTAGGTTGGTAGGTTTCATTTCACCAGTTTTATATATAAAGACAATAGCACTCCATAACTTTTTACTGCTCTCCATATATAACACTAAATTGTAATTAGTCTTTTTTGTAAAAGCATTGTTCTTGGACTTCACAGTTAGCTCTTAGTTCACAGTGTTTTTTTCAGAACAACTTACATGTCTTCTACTCTTTAAACATGGATACACAGTTGCTATTGCATAAATACTTGAGCCATTATTTTTCTTATTTACTCATTGCGCTCACAAACTCTGTTTTAATGTTGATAGCTTAGTAGTTATCTGCCTTGAGAAGCTCAAGATAGATCTCTTATTTCAGAATGAGAATGGAAATGCAAGTTTAACCGAGGCTAGTAAACTGATAATGTTGCGTGGTTAATAATAAGGCCTTGTTGAACCACACTGAACAGGATAGATACGTGTATCGTATTTTGCAGATAGAGAGACAAAGTGCTCTGATGTTACAGAAGTCTCTGAAATAATTTCTGTTTAAGATTTCAAAGCTTCCAGTCCAACTTTTCTTTAAATTGGTTCACATTTCAATTGATTTAATTCTCATGCATGTTAATAAGTCAAACTTGTTGAATGCATTTACCCTTTATTTTGAACACTCAGGAAGGATGTGAGGCAGTGCCTCACAGGGCAACAGTATATGTCCAATTAGTGGAATCCAAAAGAATGTGGTCCTGGAACAAACTGTTTCCTGTTCATGTTGAAGCAGAGGATGGTGAAAAAATTATTGTCTCCCCTTCAGAAATGGAAAACTGTCCAGGTGTTCCTTCTGTTTGTGATATCCAACTGAATCAGATGCCTTCGAGTGACTTCACTATCCTTAGTGATGTGGTCACAATGTTCAGGTAAGGTAGGCATTGCTTTGTTCAAAACGAAATTTTCCTGTTATGCCTTTCATATAAGTTGTGTATTCAGCTTAGGAAGCTAGTGAGAATTTGTGAAGAATGCTGAACTGTTTCTTTTTGCAATTTTCATGCTTCTCTGCAGTGTGGATTTCAGTAAGCCAGTAATGAGTGCTTCTACCTACTATAGAGTGCAGCTGGAGCCTGTAAAATCTGGCAAGGCACAAATCGTACTTTCTTGGTGGGATATTGACATGGACCCCTCTGGGATGATAAATTGTACAATGGCTCCATACTGGGTAAAATCCACTTCTGCTTTCCAGGTAAAATACTGAGCTTTCAGATACTATCATCAGATGACTCCAAGTAATTATTTTGAGTAAAGGCCATACTGGGTGTTTTAAGCAACTGTCCCTTAAACTGTATAGGAACTTTGCTGATGTTTTATATATTGGAAGGTGCTAAATAAGCAAATCATAGAAATGTTAGCTACAGTATGTACCCATTTTAGGTTCTCTTTAATGTAAAACTTAAATGTAAGCTTTAATGTAAAGCTCAAAAATTGAAGCTGTATTCCAGGTATTTTATTTCTTGTATGTCTTTTATTTCTTTCTTTTACTTTCAAGAAACAAAACAAAGTTTTCCGTATATTTTTCCTTAACTAGTGTCTATTCTTGGTCAAAATATTAGTCTGTGGCTTGCTTCCATGCAGTTCTTCTATGAAATTTCCAAATAAGTGTTAAGTTTATGGTAGTATATTTATACTCCATAAAAAAGGCTGGTGTGGGAAAATGCTGGGTTGATACTGGATAATTAGAGGAACAGGAGATCACTATGAAATCAGATTCCTGTGTTTTTGTATGAATGTGTTTACTAATAAGATGAACTTAGTCAAAAGAAAGCTACAAAATGATTGTTTGCACTTACTGTGTTTAAGAATAAAATTTGAAACTATCAAGCTTCAGGGCATTTCCTCACCTTAGAATGACCGATCAGCTTGGAATATTTGCAATGCAGAAAATAGCTTTTTGAAACACAAAATAGTTGTGCTGTCATATCAGAGTGACACTAAGTGACCTCATTTGATGAATGAGGCTCCAACCACTGGTCACTGTCAGCAATTCAATACAGGTTTCTAACATAAAGTGAACTATAGAGGTGAAACAGCATTAATAAATGCAAAGCGTATTCTGGTTTTGTTTTTCGTTTGATTAAAATATAAGCTTAGTTAGTCAGCAAGCCAGTGGTCTCAGGCTTATTCTGTTGCAAGAAATCTATATAGAATCATAGAATGCTTTGGGTTGGAAGGGAGCTTTAGAGGTCATCTAGCCCAACCCCCCTGCAGTGAGCAGGGAGTACATTTATTCAATATAAAGTACATGTATTCAATATACGGTATTAATCTTTATTCAGCCTTGCTAACATGAACAAGAGTCAACTAGTCGTACATCAGTGCTTCAAAGTTGTGCCCATTCTCACTAATTGATTTCCTGCTATTTGTTTACTTTCCATTTACTATTTATGAGTTACTTCCTAACGTTTCATTTATCAACCCTTTTCAGTGGAGAGATCACTGGATGCAGTGTGTGTATTTTCTTCCAAATGAGGAGCCAGTTCTCCAGGGTGAGAAGGTGTACCTGACTGCCTGTCGTGACGAGTACTCTGTGTGGTATAAGCTGCAGAAAGCCAGGTAACAATACGTGTGTGTGAAAAAGGGTGGTATTTTACTCCGAGCTCGAGTATTTCCTGTTCTTAGAGCAGCTATTTTGTAGAAGAGCAAGATAAGAACCTAAAGACTAGAAAATTATTAAAAGCCACTTCATGGGCAACGCATAGGTGAAAAAAACTCGTTATGCATAAAAATACAGTTGAGGTTTGGATTGCAGGCTCTTGCCTTATACCTGGTGGCATTCTGTGACAGAGAAACAAAAACCACTCATGGTTAGTTCCTGGAAATCCTAAAAATATAGCTCAGCTGAGCTGGCATATAGGTAAAGGAGTGAAATAATTGCCATTCTGTCTCCATTTTCTATTTTCCTAGTGTTGTGGTTTAGCCCCAGCCAGCAACTA